GAATTACGTAATTTATTGTCGTGCCGTTTTGCTATTAAATCAGAGATCCTACATGCTTTCCTGACGGCCATGCTTTGGAGTTGTTGAAATCCTTCCAGAGTCATGATCCTAGCCAGAGCTTTGACTTACTATCTATAAACTTAAATAGCTTATTCATCTCCGTATCATAAGTTTCATTTAACTTCTGAATAGAGGCCTGGTGGGGAAGCTCATTAAGCTTATCCGAATGGTAGGGTCTCTTAAGACCACATAAATCAGGAGTTTAACAAAATTCAGAAGCAAAATTGACTTACAATTGCTTTCTTTGTCCGACTGTATTTAGTGCATTGTCTGGCAACCTTTCTAACTTAGTTTAATTAAGGATATGAAGACCAAGATGGTGTGGCCCCGGTATAGTCGCAGCCCTTTTTCGATGTATAGAAGTGGGCTGACCTAGTTTTCGAAAATTGGTATTGTTGTCCGGTTACTTAACTGAATCTATGTTGTCCTGATGATGCCGACTATGATGCTGGCGTAAAGTCTGAGAATGTACCAAGTTCACGGTCTAATGTTGCGAATGATGATAACTACTATGGCAGAGGACTTCGGACAAGGTGCGTTCTACTAAGTCCCCCTGAAAACCAGGCCAAGTTGCAAAAACGAGGTTAGCCCACTTCTACAATTCGAAAGAAGGCAGAGACAATACCGAGGGCCACATCATCTTGGTCTTCATATCTTCGATTAATATTCCTTATGGTTTCCAAAATCTCCTTCTCTTTTATATTTCAGTCTGCTTTTCGTATTAAGTATGCTTAAATGCTCTCAGTAGGCCTTAAACAAGAACTTTCGTCACCCTCGATCGCTTAAAGTAAGGTAATGATTGATAGTGGAATTTTTCACAATGAGATGAGTTGGTCATACAACACCATTTCATTTCACCTAGACATGCTTGTCAAAAGTTTGTATCCTTTAAGATGGGCTGCATTTATTCATGATATACTGATGGTCCCGAGGCCTACTCACTACGAATTTATGTTATTTTGAAACAGCTGTAACAAGTTTGCCTCATTGGTCGTTCAAACTTTAAATGCTTTGGGGGAAGACATCACTTTTCTTAAAATCCAAATCTGACCTGCGACCCACTGGCACCAAGGGTTGTGTACCTGAGTCTTAATGTAACGCCGATCATTGCGCAAGACTTAGTCTTGTCATTAATCCTGTATATGATGAGGCGAAATAGAACCTGCACTATAGAAGGAATGAGAAAACCTTTTTGGAGACAGAGCTAGATGAACTTCAATGGAATTGTGAGTTATACAAATTTCGTCTTTATCAAATCCACTATTAGTCCTTTGATCAACTTTAAACTTTTGTAGTTAGTGTTCAGCCTTCTACAAAAGTAAACCTCAGCTCTGATAGGAATGCCAGTCATTTCTGTTCTTTTCACAAAAATTTGACCTCTTCATACAATATGGTATCCTCAGATTGTAAAATTCATTTCAGACATTATAAAAGGAGTTCTGGGGTTTAAATCAGTCATAGACTTTTGTGTGCTTTTACACATACATATTTATTAAAGACAGGCCAAGGTCGAGTAATCAATTAGCAATGATTGTTCTTATCGATCACTGATTAGCCAATAGTACGTGTCTAATTGTGGAATAGTCATTCTTTTCTCTCTTGATTTATGTACTTACTATCCTGCTTAGGGGATGAGAATATGCCTTTGGTTTTTTTCGTTGTGCTCTATAGTCTGCTCAGACTAGTTTCAAAGAAGCTCGGAACCATAAAATCATAATGAATTGTATACGGTACGATCGCTTAGTAAAAGACGGATTCTTAAAGGGTAACAGAGGTCGTTTCCAGGCTGCATTGGCCAAAATGGAAAAATCGTCTATCACACGACCGGCCATATTGCCTTTTAAAGCGCTCCGGTCACCCGGCTCCTCTCTGCCTCCTTATCTGCGAAAAACACAAGCTCCAGGTCCACGGTGCAATCCTATGCCGCCGAATTCGCCAGGGTCTACACCCAAGCTCGTGCAACGGCATAATGTACGGGCCCCAAAGGAAAGCCTTCAGAGAGACGATCTTGATGCTACAAAGGGTGACTATTTTGAACGAGCAATTTGCCTAAGGCTGAGAGTGGATATTCCTACTGAAAGGTATGATCTAATTCAGAAGAATGCCAGCAATAGAATCAAAAAGCTAGATCAGAGCCTTGCAGACATTATACTCAATTGCATCCGAACAGTATGAGGACTTGACGCCTTTAACCTTTTTAATAGTGCTCTTAATGCTTCAATGTTGTAAATGCTTTATAAAATTGACCTTAAATGATACAGAGTTTGATTATTTTTTTCAAATTCCTTTTCGGATTTCACTTATATTACTATCAAGAGGAGGAGAAAAGAGGTGACTCTTCCTCTCCTACCACTGGATCAGCTTAAGTTATGCCCAGCATTTGCAGTAAGCTTGCCTCCAGGTTTGCTCTTCATCAAAAAATTAATTTTTCATACCATTTTAGGATGCTCCATAGATTCGAAGTTCGATTCAACCAGAAGATAATCTTGATCAGTTGTAGATTGGCCTTATTGGAACATTCTTATTGACGCTGTTTTTGAGACAATATCCGGTGAAAATGTGTTGGGCTTTCTTTCATCATATGACGGATATCATCAGTGCAACGTATCATTTTTACAAGAATATTGAGGCCATCGAGTCAATATGATTTCCGCCATATGATGTCTCATAGACAATGTTGCTCTATACCATCTTAGACATAGAACTAGACCCGAATAAAAGATTCAGAACTAATTGCAGGAGCCGTTTGACTTTGGGCCAAATAAGCCCAAATAAGCATAAAATCCTGCTGACTTGTCCATCTATCTGCGCACTAGCTAGCCGTGAGAAGTTGAAGAAAATGTATGGGTTAACTGATTACTTGCAAGAATCTTCCAGCTTACGCGATATAGGCTAGTCTAAGACTTCTGAAAATTATCTTTTATCATTTGATACAGATGCAGGCGAAAGATTTAACTTTTGGATAGAGTATGTGGAGACGCTTTTTAAAAGAAGTCATCAGTTAGCAAATTGGGTTGGCAATTGCCAAACGTTAAAAAAGTTATGGACACATTCCAACTATGGAAGATGGAATCCCACGAATTGTAAACAATCATTTTGAAGAGAAGCGTTAGGGTGATGCAATCTCGTTTATTCTCCTAAGATTGTGCATGAGAAAAGAAGAGCTGAATCTAAGGGTGCAGTTTTATGCCCTTAATGAAGTTAGAAAGAACATTCGTTAATAAGCAAGAAAGAAAAGTGTATATAAAGAAAAAAAACGTTGTGATAAGAATGAAGGGCAAAATTATTGAAGATAAATTAATTCAAAACAAGTAGAAGTTGTTCGAACTTGTGTTTGCAGTTTGGTCATATTGGCAGGAAGACTTAGAGGAACACACCGGAGTCCGGAGTCCATTGTATGCATTATCATTTCCAGATTCAGACCGTGTACATGGTACTTTACCAAACGTTTCGCTGGCATCGTCATTGAGCTGTGCCATTCTTAGCACCACACTACAAATCGTCAAAGAGGCAAGTGAAGCCGATCCTTTGACCAATTGTCTGCTAAACAATTGTGATATCTCTCCTTCTGCCCTCTCATGACCAAGCTTTGGTTTCATGTGACCACGGCTACGATCAACGGTGTCTACTGTTAGCCAATTAGCTCTAGTTTCCGCCGCATCTATCTTGCTTATAGCCATAGTGCCTATTTGATGACTTCCTATGCCCTAGTCTCTTGTAGGCCAAACCACAAAGGTTGTGGCTCTAATTGTCTTGTCGTTCTAAATTGAACCTATCCAAAAACAATTAGAACCACGACATTTGTGGGTTGGCACGCCAGAGATTAGGGCGTAGGAAGTCATCGAATAGGCACTATGGCTATAAGCACGATAGATGCGGCGAATAAGGTAGGCGTGGTTGATAATAGACCTGGTAAATGGAGTAAAGGCTTGATAATGAGAATTACTTGGGCGCTTTAGCTCCAAGTTAGTTCCCAATCCAACTTGAAAATCTGAACTTTTAGGGGCCTACACAACGAGGCGGAAGTAGGTGTGCCAACAAAGGCTTGAGACAATGTTGGAAACAACCCTTCGAGTAGTACAGATAGGGTGTCAGGGTCGAATGAAATACATGATCAGGAAGGGGGGAGGTGGACTCTACGGGGCAAGAGGGAGACTCTGATAAGAGGGGATGAGAAAGCCAGTATGGAGTTTGGAGAGTTTTCATGATATCCGCTAAAAATGGCGCACAAGGACACATTTAAATAATAAATTATGATAGTGAAGTGTTGCTACGAGGACATAGGATTTGGGAATAGCCTAGGGCAGAAGGAGAGATGCCACAATTGTTTAGCAGACAATTGGTCAAAGGATCGGCTTCACTTGTCTCTGACGCGTTGTAGTGTGATGCTAAGAGTGGCAAGGCTGATTGCCGATGCCGACTACCATGCGGGAGAAACATTTGGGAATATACCACGTCTGGAAATTATCATGTATACAATGAACTCCGGACTAGGTGCGTTCCTCTAGGTCTTCCTACCAATAAGATCAAGTCGCGAAAACAAGGTCAAACAACTTTTATACAGCGAAAGGAGACTGTAACGATACAAAGAACCACACCATCTTGGTCTTAATACCTTTGACAAAACAAGTAGCTTTAGAGCTTAAAAGAGATTCGGTTTTTTCAAGCTCACGTTTGCACAAAATGCTTTCTAAAATTGGGTCATGATAGTAACAATATATAAAATTATTTTGATACAATTTGATCTGCAAAGCAGTAATTTAAATGAATTTTCCGGAAGGCCAAAAAACTATCAAAGTGCAGAGAAACATAAATTACTTATAATTAAGGCTGTGTTCAAGGCAATAATATGTAATGAAAATTGATAATTTAAAGAGATGATGGAGGTCTTACTAGTTTAGTTATAAATAATTTTTGTTTATTTTATTTATTCAAATCATAAAACTATAAAGACTATATATTCGAGAGGCTATCAAGCTTTGGGTTTCTATATGAGCCTGTCATTCAACAGAATGGGCAAGTATATTACTTGCGTCAAATTGGTCCTTACCGATACTATTAAATGAGTGAAGGCAAGACTGGATCTCCTAACGTTAATTTTTGCCGTGGAACACAGTATTAAGAAAACCCAGCTTATTAGAAGCAAAAGTATAGCAAATAATTAAAGATTGGCAATGAAGAAAAATAAATTTCCACCAAAACTAACAAAATAAATGCAA